GGTTGAAACAGTAATTTGTCATTTTAGGAAATACTATTATTTGCTTTCTAGCCAAGAGTTCGATTAGAAAATTGATAACACTCTCATGTCTTAAAAATATATATTTATATAAGCTGGAGCCAGCAGCCTGTCAGCTTAGCTTAGCATAAAGGCTTGAATCAGGGGGAAACAGCTACCTGGCTCTGTACAAAGGTAGGAAAATCCACGTACCTGTAAAGCTAAATAATCACCACGTTACATCATGTTCAAGTTCCAGTTCTATGGCTAAGCTGAGCTAACTGGATGCTTGCCGGAGCTTACCACCTATGAGAGTGCCGTCAGTTCTTTCAGCTAACTCTCTTAAATAAAGAAAATAAGTTAAATAACTGTCAAACTATTTATTTAATTTCAGGCTGAAAGAAGGCTCTGACCTAACGATTCAAACTGGAAACATAAGGTCCGAGGTCAACTCACCTAACACAACTTGATATTCAGATTTCTATGAAGATGTGATATTGGTCTCACATTCAGACTCATTATAGTCGGAGGGTAAAGGGAAAAGGTATTGCTGAGACGGTGTTACCACTGATTAAATGCTTCACCTTGATGTGACTTTTTCCTGGCCCAGCATGTCAGGGTCTAAAAGAGATTATTGCCTTCTGCAAATGGTCACACACACAGTCACAGAGAGCACTCCCTGGTGAGCATCTTCCACTCACAGGCGACTTAATTAGGAAGCCATCTTAAGAAATGCACCTGGCTTCACACTCCCCTGCCTCTGACTCACAGCTAGTTATCTGGAGTAGTGCTGCCGCTCTCTGACCAGGCTTTATCTGGATTCAGACATGAATAGTGCCTTACAACTAACCTGAAAAGACCTTAAGGTCACACAAATTCAGGCTGTGTAAAGAGAGAGAAATGTGATACAGTGCAAGGTCAGTGGCCAACAGTAGCTCAGTCTGTAGAGACTTGGCTGGGCACTGACTGGGCACCGGAGGGTCACTGGTTCAAGTCCAGCATGGACCACAATATGGAGTGAGGACTGGTAGCTGGAGAGGTGCCAGGTCCACCTCCTGTGGCCCTTGAGTAGTAGTAATAGTAGTCAAAGCATGCCCTTTATTTAAAGAGAGGTACATTCGGAAAACCAAGGTAATTGTTCCTCGTAGAAAAATGACCCTTACAAAGATTGTACTGTATAAAAACCAAAACACCCTGAAAAACCAACCAGCCAAACCATAAATCTGTATATTATGGGAAAAACCTGTGTATCATCTAGAGCCCCATTCTCCATCAGCTGCTGTGCCACTCTACGACCAGATTGCTTTTCCAGTGTGCTTTTAAGATTGGCAATATCTGTCCACCTGCTAAGCATCTAACCTGTGCAGTCATCATGCAGCTTTTCACTCAGGCAATCATGAGTCTTTTGGGACTGAAGCTGTCTGTTGGGAACTGGAGGAAACCAGGAAACCAGCAGCAGTTAGTGGAAGGCTGATGTTGATGTTTTAAAAAAAAAAAAAGATTTGCCACCTCTGCTCCTTGGGACATCTTGTTTACCAGTGCTGCTGGCTCACCTTCTTTTCTACTTCCTTCCTTTACAATTTCTATAATCTGTCTCAGCTCTCCAGCAGGCGTTTCAGATTTCCCACTTCAAGGTGATGCAGTCCCCTTTTTTAAACAAGAATCCACTACTTTTCTACTTTTCCATTTCTCCTCAAACCCCTTCTTTGCAGCTTCATCTTTACCCCTTCTAGTCTCTGGTTGCAATCACACAGTCTTCTCACGATCAGACCAGCTGGAAACCTCCAACATGAGTCGAACAAAGTGGCTGCAGGGCTGCACTCAAGCACACCTCCAATTCTTCACTGGCTGTTTTTCTCACCCTCTGTTTTTTTCCACTTTGCTTTCCCCAGTGTCTCCTTACATTCCCGTGAGATTGTCTTTTACAGTTTCAAACTAAACCATACATCTACATCTGCCAACTGCTTCCTCACTAACTTAGGCAGTGCTGTAGGAACTTGTTTCCATAAATTGTGTAATTTGCTTATGTTACTGGAAATAGTTTAAAGAAGAGTGCTGTTGATCTTGGGGGACTTCCATTTCTTCCCACATCCTGCTGTTTACAATGCTCAGGGAGAATGGGAACACAAGAAAGTCAACAGACGGGCAGACATTAAAGTACAGATTGTTAGACGTAATATTCAATACATTAGTAGTAGAAGGTTGTATCATTGCACTTTCCTTTTGACATTTGACTCAAAACTCAACAGACCAATGAAGTGCAGCAGTATGTGATATTTTTTTCATGGTAACACGTTTCAAGCTATCTGTTCTGTAGTTAAGGGGATTTTTAGCTCCACCACTCTACCTTTTCACTGCATGGTGTCACCAAAGAGCTCGCTGACACACACTTTAATACTATGGCACCTGTGTCCTCATTAATCTAGACCCTCGCACTGTGGTTGCCGTGGCAACAGAAACTAGGAGAAAATGAGTCCATCACTCAACTGGATGCCTTGTTGCCAGAGTGGAGTTGTGCAGAGGTTGATAGTTGAGAGTTGATTTGTTGTGTTGTTTGTTTCCTGTGCTTTTGACTTGCAGGGTCGTCGTCAAATGTTTTAAACATGACGCTGGTGCTGGGAGTTTCACCTTGTGATGAATGTAAGGGAAAGGAAGCTGTGATTTTAGTCATTCAATTGATTTCCCGCAGGTGCAATCAGTAGCCACCGCCTTCTAATCAATGATGAGCGACTGTGTGTTACACACAGCCTTTAATCTTGTGGTTGTCAATAAAACAGTAAGATGCTGTCTGTACATGAGTACCCACAGGCTGCCTCTCATAGCTACAACTGACAACTATAGCAAACGTCATCAGTGACCTGCAGCTGCAGCACTGAATAACTAATCAACAGTTCTTCAAGATTTTATGTGAATTAAAGCAACATGTGTAAGAGATGTGATGTCGTAAATATAGACAGCTGTACACATGCATGTGTTATGATCACATTGTTTATGATTAAAAACTAGCAAGTCGACAACTTTGTTAACACAGCCAAACATCAAGCAAGTGCAGCAACACAAGACATAGCAAGCCAGTTAATATAGACGAACAGCAAGTAAGGCAGCTCACCGTCTGCCTGCAGCCTTTTATTTCACAAGGCTCTCGACAACAACTAAAAGGCAGTCCCAGATTTACTCTTGTCTGGCGGCCTCTTGCTCGTTCACTCTCTCCTTTTTTCTTCTTTACTTCCTCCATTGTCGTCTTTGGTCTCTTTGTCTCTGCTGTTTGTTATGTCAAAGCTGCTGAGCCTGGTTCCATTGCCCGCTTACCTGGCTCTGGTTCTGGCTGCTGTCAACCTTTCAAGCTTAAACTACAGCTCCTGTAGTACAAATGTAAACACCAACACCCCCCGGTGCTCTGAGTCTGAGCACCCAGTCTGAGCACCCAGTCCCAGTGGGGCTAATTTAAGCTAACTAGCTAACAGCAGTTACATTGAACAGCAGTTACTTTACTATCCATCAGGAAACTCAAGGTGGAGCAGCCGGAGGACATCAGAAGGAAAACATTTTCTCCATAAAATATGATACAGTTTCACCAAGATCAACTATCGGACAACTATAGTGTCACGCACTTGGACTCCGACCTGGAGCCAAAAGTTACATAGTGCGTCGTATGCACCAGTCAGCCTATTACAACTCAGTGTGGCATTAAAATTATGCTGAAAAGTTCCATAATGTTGTTTTAAACTACAGTTTCTATTATTTATACAAGAATTGTATAAGGCAGGACAAAGAGGAGAGGACCACATATGACCGTGACGTGTTAGAAAAAAAAAAAGGAAACAACAAACCACATGCCCAGAAAGAGAGAGAGACAGTGACTGACTCCTCCAGCTGGCAGACATATATTTGAACTGAGCCAGAACAGCCAGGTTTCTCTTCAGTTAAGCTAAACACCTCATGACTCCAGCTGTGGGCATATTTCCCAAAATACCAAGCAATTTTTTTAATGTGTGAAGTGTGCTTCAGTTAAATTTAATGATCCGGTGTGTAACGTTTAGGAGTATCTCTTGGCCAACATGAAATATTATATGTGTTCATTAGTGTATAATTACCTGGAAATAAGAATATTTTTGTTACCTTAGAATAATGAACGCTATGTTTCTACCGTAGTCCAGAATGGA